CATGCCACTGTCCTTGACCAAAGTAATGTGTACAACTTTAAAGAATCCTGGTCTAGTATTCCAACAAGCATTGCTGACAAAGAATAAGAATTCAGTCACTAAAGGGAGGATAAGAGCCAATCAAACAGTAAATACATGCTTTAATCCAGAAGAGGATCACCTAAGATGTAAATGTAGAAGCAAAAGCTATTTACTTACATGGCAACCTCCGAATATCCGTGGGTCTGATTGCTTCATGGGCCTCCTGAGCATTCTTCACCTTCTTAAAATATTTACGTGGGCTTTCTGATGTGAAATGGGAACCATATCTGAAGGAATAAGTTTTCCCTTGTTAACAGTTAGATAGCATCACTAAATTAAATAGATAAGTATTTTAAAGTTTCAATTTATAGACACTCATCCAGCATAATTCAAGCAAATATTTAAGCACTTTATCTTACTACGAAATTTTTTTTTTATTACAGCATTTTTTAACTTCTCTTTTCTTCAATTAATGTTACCAAATGCAAAAGAACATGCAGCCCGACACCACCAATGCTCTCCTATCTCTGGTCTTCCAGATGGACTACATACAAGTTATACTCACCATGTGTCTCAATTTATTCCAATCCCACAACAGACCTTATAAAAGAAGCAATCAAGGCATTATGCCTGGTCAGAAATAATATCATCATTTTTAGCAATATACTTGAAGGAAAGCATCAAGAATCATATAAATTACAACTAACCAATTACAACTAACCACCATGAGAAACCATATCTCCCAAAGATTGCGTTAATCAATAAATACAAGGGAAATGCCTGCACAACGCTGCAGGATAATAACAATTTTTCATAAGGCGTTAATCAATAAATACAAGGGAAATGCCTGCACAACGCTGCAGGATAATAACAATTTTTCATAAGGCTATGACATGCTTCTACCTCCCAAATTGAATTATTGATCATATAGAAAGAAGACATATAAAAAACTTAAAGAAAAGAAAAAATAGAATTTGATAAAAGGCTTCACCAATGGGCCAAACACACTATCAATATGTTGGTGTTACTACTTTAATGTAAAATATTAACTACCAAACAAAAACCTATAAAAGTGAAGGTCTCACCAATATTCAGTGTAAAAGACACAAGTACAGTAAAAAATGAATTTATATAACAAATTTTTTAAAAAATATTATGGATGAAAGAAAAAACTAAGTAAAAAAATCAAATTTACGATTTTAACCAGAGATAAGGAAAAGGCAAATACAAAGATACAAAGGATTATGGAAAAGGTTCTCCAGAAACAGGAGTAGAAAATAAAAACTTAAAATCTAAAAAAAGAAGAAAAAAACAAACTCAGACATAGGGAGGAGATCATGACACCCAATGGCCCTTAGAGCTTGTTTGGATGATGATTCAGTAATGATGGAATGGTTTTTTTCATGGTTTTATTCTGTTTGTTTGCACTTCCAAACACATAATACGGTTTTTTGTTAGTTGAGTCATGGTTCTCAAAATTATGATTTTTTTTATTTTTTCAAACCGTCGATTCGATGATTTTAGAATGGTTTGATAATTTTTTCCCTTTATACCCTTAATATTTTTATTATTTACAAAATTACTCTTCATTTTAAATCACTCTACCCGACACTTTTCACTCTTCTTCTTCTCTAGGGTTTCTTCTTCTTCTTCTTCTACCCGACACTAATTCAAGAAGAGCTACACACCTCGAGCCGCACACCTCTTCTTCTTCTTATTTTATTGTGTGTGTGTGTATATATATATATTTAATTATATTTTTTTTATATATAAACATGTATTTATATATTCAATTAAATTCATGTACTTATATTTTTAATTATATATACATGTATATAATATATTTAATTATATCAATTTTATTGTATATATTTATATATTTAATTATATATAAATACATGTATATAATATTTTAATTATAAATATACATGTATGTAATATTTTAATTATATATATATTATATATAGGCATATATTTAATTATATATATTTATCTATCTGTATATTTAACACTATATATTTTTTTAATCTTTTTTCTTTTTATTTTTCATTTATTACTATATACAATAAAGTAGAGACAATTTGCTCAAATATAGAATCATACCATACTTTCAATATAAACAAAAACAGCTGTCACTACCAGATATTAAGAGATCATCATCTAAATATAGTTAAATTTAAACATTAATGAAGCTTGCACATACCATACCATACCCAACATTAACGAACCATAATGCAAATCATTCAATTAAGCTCTTAATTTTACAGTAAAAATGTGTATAGATACTATTACAGGACATATATACAAGGACATCTCCTCAAAACAGATATACAAAAATAGTCATTAAGCATGAAAAAGCCATTCATGAAAAGCAAATAGATATACATATCTGCACAAGCAAATAAACAGGCTTAAAATTATTTATTTGTAAGAAATGCTCTGTAAGGCAAAGTTCATGTATGTCACCTTTCCGTGATAAAAGAGCGAATGTCTTTAACAGCTCCTTCCGAAATCTAATATTTTAAAAATATAAGTGTTAGCAGTACTCCAAGTAATAGCATCTTAAAAAACATGGAGTAAAATCAGCTAAATACATACTCTTTAATGTAGAGTTAGAAAGACAAGGACACATCCAAAAGTAATCACATTCACAAAGTAAAAAATCATATTGCTAGTGTTCAACTAC